GAAATTGATATCGGGAGGTACTACAGGAAGTGAAACGTCTGTAGATCGACTTAAACAGTAAAAAGGAGTAAATCTCCAAAGGTTGAATCAAGGCTCTAGCACCCTATGGTATGTTGAGGACTTTTAGGTGACAAAGCCACTTGAATAAGGTTGTGGTCTTTAAAAGAGCTTCACGAATCAGCTATCACAAGTGTTGACTGGGTAGGCAACGCAGGATCTTACCCAGTCCAGCATAAGATGCTTACTCATAATATGAGTTCTGTCGCACAAATACCAGGCTGGAAGCTTGAAAATGTTCTTTGGAGGAGAACACCTTATTCGGTTTGTATTAAAATGTTAATTTGAAGTGACTAAACTAATTCTCTCCATCGAAGAAAAACGGGCCATTAAAGCACACCACATGTGCTCTTCAGTAGCTGTAGTTTGACTCATTCATGTACCATCTGAAAACCAGCTAATTTTTCAAGAAGTCTCGACATTGAAGCACAACTGACGAAGTGCCGGCATTTGACTCTATCCCTTTGCAAATGAGAGCAGACTCGAAAATAACGGAATAGACGTTCTTTCTGGACTCACAGAAGATGCTTCGGGAAAAAGCAAAACACGAACCTGCCAAGGAATCGAACCTTTGACCTCACATCTATGAAGCACCCTACACTCCTTATCCCTGAGACGGAGTAGGCGTGGCTGTCGAACATAGCGTAGGATTGGCCACTCGTGAGATATTCCGATTTGGTACGGTGACCTTTCAATCTGTTTGGACAGAGACATGATTACAACTCTTCCAATATGAAATTACTCACGAAAAGCTTAGCCGCCTCCACGTTCAACCCAAGTACGCAGCCACGCCTACCGCATCTCAGGATTTCATGTATACCTACCCACTGCACCATCGACCACATTTCACCTCTGACTTTCGATAAAGTTTCAAAAAAAACCATTTAGAAGTTAACGAATAACACAAGAGAATAAAAATGAGAAATAATAATTAGGATAAGTAATGTAAAAGCAAGTTAAAAATTGATCAAGTTTAACTAAATAATACAATTTCAAAGTATAAACGATATATCAAACAATTACTACTCTTTTCGAACTCAACTTGAGCTAGACAAAGAGTATCCGGCGGGTACTGTGCTGGGACCACCCCCCCCCCTAACTCCTCCTAGAGAATCGTTCCGCAAATTCTGAAACCAGATTTGAGTTCAGTGTCCCGAGACGCACACGCCAATATGCATCCCATCCTGAATGGCCATGACCATTGATATTTCCTGGTGAGAAGTAACGCTCCGCACCCGGCGCTACCGAGTAATCCCTTTTCCTTCAGAACTATGTTAGCAACGAAAAAATCGGCAGAGAAAATTGAGCCACACACAGTTAAAAAAACGCAGCGAGATCTTTGTTCCCTACTTGATTGCTCAGTGCGATGCGGTCTAAACAATAGCCAGACGATGTACGAAGTCACTGCTGCATCCTCCCAGACAGGATCTACCAATTAAACACTGTGCGGAGGGTTAGAAGGCCTTGCGTTAGCCTGCGCGGGAGTCGAGCCGGGATCTGAGCCCGAGGACCGCACGTGTGAGGTGGTAAGCGCGCTACTTTCAACCACACCACCTCCACCTCATGAAATAAATGAAATCGCCATACTTTCCCAAATTCTGACTCCCTCCGGACTAAAGTAAACCCCGTTCAGCAAGTCCATTTCCTTAACCTCTGACATAAATTCGATGTTTCGCTGAAAATCTCCGACTATGGTCTCGGCCCTATATAAATTTGATCAGGCGCAGTTCGGCGGCGGGGGGGGGGCATATCGCACTCTTGTTACTTCTCATCGACGTGTGACCATTAAAAAGCCTTTTCGTGAGCTGACAGGTTTACCATTGTAGCTCGGATGAGCTTGCTCAGCTTCACAGGGGTCCACAGGTTCCATCGGGTAAAGTATGCAAACCGGAAGTGGAGCAATAAAAGTGCAAAAAAAGCGCCCGTCGTTGCCGTACTGTGCCTCGTGATCAACTGATTATGAATGTATGTATAGTTCTATACGCTGCGGATGATGGGGGCGTGTTAGAAGGGAGAGGGAGGGGGAAAAGGGATGGGAGGGTGGGTTCCACGCGGCGCCAGCTCGTTATTCTTCTTCTCCTTCTGGTCAGCACAAAATCCCAAGTTTAATGTGCTGCCGAAAGACCCGCACTTAGCTCAAAAATAAATTTCTATTACTCAGAAGCTAATTCGAATTTCAGAAAAAAAAACAGTGAAGCAGTCTAATAAACTGGTTTGCATAGCTTCACCTGTATTCCTATCTGTTCTTTTCTCATCTGCCTGAGTGCCCCCTAATAGAAAGGTTTTTTAGAATATCGCTTCATTGGGGCGAATGTGGTGTGGTGACAAGTTTCGCGCTTACCACTCGCGCGGTCCAGGGTTCAAATCCCAGGCCAACCAAGCCTTCTACCCTCCGGGGACGGTAAATTGGTACCAGATTCTGGGAGGATAAGAACACTGACTTGTACATCGGCTGGCCCCCGCAAGTCATTGTATAGGCCACATCGCATTCAATAAGCCACTACGATTCTGAATGGAAGTAGAATGCGTGCCGCATCCCACAAAGGGATTGATTAACGGCGAAGACTTTATCCTTTTATCCTTCCTATTGCTTCATTAACTTTTCTTATTGCTTCATCAACTTTGATACTCTCATCATGGCAAACCTATCGTGAATAAGCTAATACACTAGGAGGATCTTCTACGGTCCCCAGAAGATTAATCGCTGACTCACCATATTGTGAAGAAATTTATAGGAGGAAGGAGCGGTCTAAAAAGCCACACTAGGGATTGAAAAATGGAAGGCTCCCGGAATGAAGGCTTAAAAGGGCACGTTTTTTCGAACTACTCGGTCTTTTCTCTTCAGAGCGCTTCATTCTCTCGGAAAGAGCCACAATTACGATCGGTGGAATTATGCTATTTAATGAGGCTGAAGTGAAGGCGTATTTTTTTGTGAACAGAATTGTACCGTATAGCAGTGGTAGTCGTTGGACAATGAGGCAAAACTCAGCGTAATGAACCCCAAATTGATCCGATGCCAATTAGGGGGCGGGGATGGGATGACATCCACATTGATATCGTTGCAACCAGTCGGGGCGGTGTCAGAATCCACCTTTCATCACTAGTCTTTTCTCCCTAGATCGATGGCTAACTGATCACTATTGGTGAAATGGGCAGCTGGAGGCGGGCTTATGGCCCTCCCAGAAACGCCCCGACTGACTGGACGATATCAAGCAACCTAAGAAAGGCTTCTGGAATGAATCCAAAAAGAGGAGCAAGTTGAAAGAGAACATTTCAGCTGATTGACGAGCAGTAGCCTCCTAATAATAATAATAATAATAATTTCGACTGTCGTGAAGTATATGCTTAGAAATGTTGTTGATAATTTTAGCATAAGTATCCGTGGACGATCTTGCTTGAGTTGTGCTGGTTAGTTGTTTGATGAGCTTGAAGGGTGATGAACCCTCTCGCTTGAGGTCCCCCTTGTTCGTTCGCCTGGGGTCCCGGACGAATTCGTTCGTAACGGGTTAAGTTGTCAGCAAGCCCCAGTAGAGTGCCGTCTTGTATTTTTGCGTTCAGAACCAAGGACCAGGATCTCGTGAGGGGACTTTTTCATCTGCTGGATGGGGAAAACAACGTTATCCACCTGGCACAATGAAAGTTTCATATCTCATTCCCACTACCACGTCACGCTACCCGAATTTCGGTCACTCTGTTATCTTTATTCTTTTATATTCATAGATTAGATTTATTTCTTTTATATTATTTGTTTTTCTTCCTTCTAACTGTGTTCCTGTGCAATGAGTTTGTTCTTTGTATCTATGCGGCGCACCTTCTGGGTGTATTTTGATAATAAAATAATAATAATAATAATAATAATAATAATAATAATAATAATAATAATAATAATAATAATAATAATAATAATATAATAATAATAATAATAATAATAATAATAATAATAATAATAATAATAATAATAATAACATAATAATAATACAGGATTCATATCATTGGGATGATAATAATATAGTACTAGTTATAATAATAATATTAATAATAATAATAATAATAGTAAACAATAACATAATTAATAAAGTAATATATAATAATAATATCAGTGGCTAATAATAATAATAAAAATATGATAGTTATAATAATAACTAGGACAAGTATGGCACATATAAAAGGCTCTTCGACGCATCTCATTAGTCATGAATCCCTGCCCAAATGATAGCGGTGTGACGGGGGAGCGTGAGCTGCGACCGCACTGCTCTAGAACAACCTTGATCGCCGATTGTTTGCAAACCAGGATAGCATCAATAGTGAAAAGGACGCCTTGGCTGCCCTCCAATATGCGCCATGTCACACGCCCTATCAGCTGCAGGGATCATGAGCTACCCGAGAGCGCCAAATACCACGGAAGTTCGGGTAATCATTGGTATTGATGATTTCGACTGTCACTTTCAGATTACGTTCCTGATGAAATACGCACGTTCGAAGCCGAATTCTATGTTCAAAAAAATGCAGAAAATTGAGCACTTTGCAGTGGTTATCGCTCTGCGTACGTCACTCATTCAAAATTTTTTCATAAACAGGAAGGCGTTTAAGAGCGTGTCTGTGGGGAAACAATTACCCTAGTTTCTGGGAAAGAGGCTCACTTATTTGCAAGACCATGGAGACGCAGGCGACAACGGGTGTGGAGAGTTTCTAGGTAGAGGAGCTGTTGTTCAGGCCTTTTTTGCGAATTCTAATCTTCTAAATGGTTACAAAACAGTTTTTATTCAATATTACTACATTAAAATTTCATCGCGAAATCGGATAGTGAAAAGAAGCAAACTGAAAAAGCCGTTCACTGATAGAGTCATAGAAGGATATGAAAATAACCGCACATAGGACAGCTAGTCCTGCGATATACAGTCATGATCCTTGCAAACGATAGGGCGTCTCAAGGGGGCATGGCTTCTTGGAATCAGATCAGATTCATCACCATTTGTAGAAAGCTCACGATGGCTTCATTGGTGGAAAAAGGGGACCTGGCTGCGCTCCATACTCGCCGCGTCACACGCCCTATCGTTTTTGGGGAGGGGTACTCTACCAGGATGGAGGATGCAGTGATCACGACTGTATCTAACTCAAGTGGGTCTGCTGTGTGTGTCACGAAACTCATGGCGCTCTTCCCAGTAGCAGTGAGACGTTCATTCGAAGAGGTTATGTAGAGGCCGTGACTGTGAAGGGAGCTTAGACGGAGAGGGTCACCTAGTTTAGGACTAAGGACAACTCAAACTCAATCCCTTCGGTCACGTCACCTTTTTGCTTTTCTCTGCGCCCCCACCTCTGCGTGACTTTCTGTGGCCACTGTGACCTGACATCCCAACTTTTCAGGCATGGTAAGTGGTTGATCCATCCTGGAGTAGAGTACCCCTCCCCAAAAAAGGTCATCCCCAGTCTCGCGACATGTTTTTTTTTAGCTTTGGATGCCTTGAAAAGCTGCAGTCCCCTGTATCTCTGCACTCTTGCCTCTCGCGCCAAGACCCCCTCCCCCCAAAAAAAAACTTCTGGTTGTTACGCTGGCCCCCCAAGTTTGAAGCGTCGGTTAAAGCAACTGTAGGACGATGGTTCCAAGTGATAGGTACAGGATAGAAATATTATCACTATACAGGTGAAAGTTATCAATCGATAAGACTAGTTGAAAGGTATTTCTTTTTTTATTTCGTCACTCAACGTCTTAATATGTGGGAGGGAAAAGCAAATACGTCCCTGATATGTTTCCAAACTAAGAAGATGTGTTTAGAAGTGGTAGAAAGCAACCAGAGCAATAGGGCTAAGGATCAAGGGTATCCTGTAGGGCTCCCCGCACGCGGTAGCGTGGGCCGTCCATCTTGTAAAATACAAGTAGATGAACTAATTTAACATCATGAAACTGAAAAAGCGTTTTTTCTTGTTTCCACAAAACAGTGGCGGCATTCAAGGCGACTGCGCGCCTTTTACCTCCAAAAGTGAGGTACAAGTTTTCTAAATCGAACTCCATAGTGCGATGGTGGGGAAGGCAAGGATGCTCTGTTTACTTGAACCCTCTGAAAATCTTTTTTAGAATATTTCTAAATAAATACCATATCAAGGATAAGTTTTTTTGGAAAAATTCAGCATGAATTCCGGAAAAAAGTGAGTATTAGTTATGGTAGTTTGGGAATTAATGAAGATGAGTGATTGTTATCAAAATTGATATATCCAAGATCTTTCCCTACGCAGTCCACACACTTGGCAAGCTCTGCATAGTGGGAAAAATACATCGAAAAGGTGCCCTCCAAAACGCAGTACATGCGGCTCTAAACATGGGCTCTAAGCGTTCTCTGCTTCGTTCAAACGAGCTGAGGAAAAACAGCTCTTAATCCGGTTATAATTGGAAACACATCCCATTTTTTGCCGCGATGAATTACATCTCATTTCCTTGGGAAAGCAACAGAAACACTTGGTACCATTGGGACTTGAAACTGCGGGAATTAATTATCTCACCAAAGGAAAGATATGGGTAACGTAAGCCACTCGCTTACCTATCTTGCTTTCCAATCGACTATACTAACCAGAATCGGGTAGCCAGAGGAAGCGATTGGGGAGCGGATCCTTAGCAGATGGAGGGTCCTCTAAAGAGTGTAAAAAATATATCCGCATAGCACCAACACGAAATCCTGCGGCCTCGCGATTAAGTAGATACGACCCACCATCCTGACGATGGTCTATAGAATAGCAATGATATAAAAGCGCTTCTAGCGTGCGGAAAGGTTTAGGAGGTCAGCTGATTTTCGTTTCAGAAAGGTTAATCATTCATTGATATCTAATTAGACGAAATAATGAAAAGAGGACGTAGTCAAGTGAAGCGCATAGATAATTGGCGACCACCAACCCTTTCCCACACCTAAGTTGCTGAAGCGGGTAAGCGACAACAACTGGTGGAAGGCGACTGATACGCACGGCAAAATACCTGGGCACGTCGTGCCGCCAGAAAATACGTCGGGAAATACGACCCCCCCCCTCAGTATCGTCCTCTGCTACGAACTCCCTCTCCTCCCCATCTCAACTACTGTCTTGCCTCTCTTGCCAACGTTTCCACGCTTCTTACCACTTTACCTGAAACATCCCTTGAAATTTTCCAGTTTTTCCCGAAAACTGTTTCCCGAAACCGAAGAACGCGACAGATTCCTGTCAAGGGCGGATATGACCTTGCCCCTCCTAAAGGCAAGCATTTTCTCAGCATAGAAAATCCACGCCTGGAATTTCTCCAACACTGTGGATGTTTCCCGCCAAACAGGAAAAATCATCTAACAAAAATTATTAGATGATGATGGGACCCCCCCCCTCTCTGCTGGGGATTACCAAACGAAAAAGTGCCCTGTGCGATACAGCCCTGTCGTTCGCTGGGAGAAAAAAAGAAGAAAAAACGGGCTGACGCTGCGTCGACCCAGCCCTTTTGCCGTGCCCCATCATCCGCAGCGAACAGGACCGTAAGTTCAGCTCACCTGATATGCATATTCTTCATTCTTGATCTCCAAATCGAAACCGACACCTTTTTCGAAAGGATTCTTTCCTTCACGTTCCTCATTGCCCCATTCACCGTTGATGAACGAGTTCCTGATCACGCACTGAAAAAGAAAACACCTCTAACTCGAAGTGAAAAGCGATCCCGGATGGCGTCCCGGATGTCAGTCACTGTTTTCTGGATGACATCCAAGACCTCAAACGCAGATCGAATCGAGACAAACGCACAACAGGAACAAATCCATTCAGGGGGAATCTACGCTTCTAAAGGAACACAATCACAGACCGAATTGATCGGTGTCGATCGATGGATCGATCGATCAGGAGCAAACCAAGGGACACACAGTGTTTTAGTGATAGCGCTAACCTCGTTAGTACAACATGGATCGCAAAAATCATTCTGCAAGAACAGAATAGTGAGCAAGAAAATGAAGAACAATGACATGTAGGGCCGTTTCAACATAGCGGACATAACATGAACTCTCTCGAGACGCATAATGCCAATCATTGTGGCAGCAACGAATGTCGGGACGGACTTGTGACGTGAACTCGACCGCCCCTATTTGGCCCCATTCCCCAAAGGAGAGCAACAGATTGAGTGAGAGAGAGAAAGAAGACCAACACAAAAACAACGACACGCTGAACAGATTAGAAAAACATACGCCCGGTTTGATTTTGCCGCAGATGAAACCCTTTGCCTAAAAATTACGTCATAGAAACCTGAAAAGTGAATTTGAGCCCTAGAAAGTTTTCAAGTAACCGACCTTTTCATCGAAGCGAGGGTTGAAGTGCAGCGCAATGTCACCATTCTTCTTCAGAAGATTAACGTTGAACCTGAACGGTCAGCGGTTAGGAAGGGGCTATTTTTTATAGGGGGGGGGGTAAGGAGATTTTTGAAAAATTCCTAGCAACGTATTCACCCAGAAATGATACCGGTCCATTAAGAGTGGGTCAGAAATTATATAATAGCGGAGGGATAGGGTATTATTGTGATCCCCAATAAAACCCTCGCTTGGTTTTGTTTCCCTCAGTACGCCTCCATCATCCCACAGTCCTCCCCTTGCTCCTTCCCTCCGCTTTCATTCAGATGATTACATCAGGTATATCAGATAGTTATATCAATCACTCCTTAGAAGCTCCAGAGCAGTTCGTTTCTGCTTCCAGTCGACGTGGCGAGCCATCTAGAAAGCTTTTCTTGGGTTGACAGGTCCTACCATCAAGGTTCGCCGAGCTTGACAAGAGTTCGCAGTTCTCACCATAGTGAGATTTGAAAAGAGGCAAATGAAGCGGACAGAGGAAAATTCTCACCCCCACCGCCCCTCCCTACTCAGGAAAATCGCTTTCAAAGCTCTTGCACTAATTCACATCGGATACCAGTAATTCAAGATGTATTATTTTTTGCAGCACTTATTCGTCAAACCTTCATTGCTCCTACTCTCCTAAACTTCTTCTCGATTACAAGCAAGCCGATTTTTTTAGAATGTACATGGGGTCAGAGAAATACGCAGTCTACTACTGAGAACTACCGTCTCCATTTGTGTAGCTGTCATGTCATTTCAACGGTTGGATGCAGCCTACACCATATAAGGCTTCTAAGGTTGAAAAAGCCCTTGCATTTTAAAGCAAAAAAAAAACTGCTTCATCTATAAGTTCTCGTTATCTAAGCTCGGATAGGACAATTCACATAAAGTTCTTCGGTTCCTTGAGGCGCGATTCCCGATTACCCTAGAAATATAATCCCTTCTGTGTGCAAGCTAGGCAACTTTGCAGCTACGGCTCCTGAACCACTTTCGCTAAACAGAAGCGAAAGGGCGACGCAAGCGTCAGGCGGTAAACGACTCTCAAACTGTCCTCGCGTCTCCTTTCAGATACCTGGTTACTAAACGGCAACCGTTACGCGGCAAGAGAAGTCTGCAGTCTACTGCGGTGAGATAAGGCCTTTTAGAGGTTCCATGAGGTCTCTTCTATTCTACCACTGCCGAAAAAATGAGGCTCGTATTTAATACATAACTAATTTTCGAAAAAAATAGACAAGCAAAAACGTGAGTTCTGTTGGGCTAGGAGCTCTTTAGCAGGAGTAACGAAAAGGAAATTATGTTGATATGCCATTAGAAAGCAAAACTCATCGTAGCCTTCCACTTCCTTCCCATGGCTCCTATCCTTCTGCCGGAATCGACTACGGAGATGAGAGCCCCTCACGGGAATGGGTGGTTACTCTTCCATCAGAAACAGGTCAGCTATTTCCGATAGTATTCATTTCTGGATGTCGAGAACCGCAATCCTTTGTAACCCAAGACGAGGTCTCAGCAAAAAACTTGAATAATAGTGGCAACAGGTTTTTTTATGGGAGCCAACTTCGTGTGAGCGCTGAATGGTGTGATCCGGAAGTGTCAGTCCTCATAAAGGTACAAAAACGGGCCTCATATTCCTTGGCAGCGTTTTTTTTTGAACAAAACGAAAAATATCTGACGAGACCAAAGCAGTTCAATCCATGTTTCAAGCACTACAGAAAATTAAACACTCACTTCTTGCCCTTTTTCTCGGGCGTTCCGTAGATCACCAACGTTTTGCCTGGTATGAAGCCATTCTCGGCGATTCCTGATTCATAAGGAACTGGCTGAAAGGCCACACATCAAAAGTACGCTGGAGCTTCACTGAAAAGTTCTATAGCACTCACATAGTACTTGCCACCCCACTGCACGTGATTCAGAACTACATCTCCATCGATGCTCAAGTGAGTGACGTGCTGTAGCGGAATGCGATGCTCGAATGACTTCACTTCTCTCTGAAAAAGCAGGAACTTGGCGATAGCTTAGTGGAAGCTGACCTGCGCCCAGGTAATTCTGGGAACGATGACATTCTACCCTCCCATCCATAAATGATAGCTCAGTTTCGGGGAATCGAAGCGAAAAGCGGCATTTTCTAGCTATTACGTTGATCCTAGCAAAAGCTATGGCATCGGGGCACGTTCTGCCGCTGGGGAAAAATTTCGAGTAGTACGACTCCCCTGCGCCCCCCCCCCTCCCTGGATCGCCTCTATCGCCGCCGCCCCTAGCCCTGGATATTAATATCCGGCTACGAAACGCCTCCCCCTCCCCATTCTAACTACCTCTCCTACTATTTTACCTCTCTTACCACCTTTTCCGGCATTCCCCAAACTTTTTTTATTTTCTCCAAGACCCTGCTGTCGAGCATATATAGCACCAGTGGAGCGGGAAGAACTGCGAGAAAGACGGAAAACTTTTTCTTAAATGCGCGGCGAAAATGGACGACCCCCTCTAACGACGACAGGCAAATACGACCCCTTCCCAGTGGAATTCTCCCAAAGATGTAGTAGCGCTCATGAGACAGGAAATCAACTATCGAAAAAATCTGAGACCAAATACGACCCCTCCTTCGCTAGACATTCCCAATGTTGGACGTGCCCTGTATGGAATAAGCCTGTACACCTCACCATTCTTGCGGAGACTTTCTTAGCCAGAGTGCAACCGTCTGGGGAGGGAGGGGGAGGTAGGAAATGTCGCTGCCTTGCCATAAACAGAAATAAGGAAGTAATGAACTTACACGATTGATGGAGACGGTGAATTTGTTGTCGTGTGCTCGAATTCGAATGTCGAATCCATCGCCCTTCTTTACCGGATTCTTCTGCCGTTCCTCTTTACCCCATGCACCCTTCGTGTACGAATTGAACACCAACTGAAATCAATTAAATATGAATTTTACTGAGGACAGAGTCGGTATAGTGGCAGTTGGGGTAGTTTGTCAAGTGCGCGGCCAGTTTTGCACCTACCAGGGCCAGTCAATTTTTCCGCTCCTCAGGGAGGCAAACTAGTAGTTAGCCCGTCTGGGAGGACAACAATACTAACTTGTACACCATCTAATCTTCAAACACTGTATGGACCTCAACGCGTTCATTAGCCACTACGATTGAAATAGAATGCGCAGCGCAACCCAAGAAGGGGCAAAAACCATATCCTTTCCATGCACTCAATAGATGCTGAAAGAACCTGGAGTAGAAAGGAGGAAGTCAACGGAGCTACGATTGCCGTAAATCGGCTCGTTCAAGCGGATGCGCTTAAACAATGAGCATAATCCGTAGAAATGCGATCGAACTGACAAACTACCTCACTCTCTCTCCTTTACCCATCGAATCGAAGAGAACCCATTTCTTTGGCCATATAAATGCGTAAATCACTTGACCGAGAACCTCGTTATCAAGAAAAACTCCCCAGAGCTCTCTCTCGAGAAATGAGATTTGAGCGCTCAGAGCGCTCGGCAAACCCACGTGAAACTCAAAAGCTTAGTTCAATGTCAGTTTCGGTTAGAATCACGAACTGAGGAAACGGGATCAAACAACAATGCAAGCTTAATCCCTACGGAGACCCTTTGCCCTCGCTCCCGTTCTCCCAGTTCCTTCTTCGCTAGCTTTACCATTTGAACAAAATTGCGATTGTCGTTTTTTGAAAGCTCATATTAGCACATTGGCGTATCCGAATTGAAAATATATGCGAAGGTGTTGAATGGGATAGAGCTACGCAACGTCCTTTTACGTATCCTTTGGCCAAATCTCCCAGGCTGAAAAGCTTTTCATCCTGGTAGGTACATAATCTTTTTCTTAGGTTCATCTGACAATGGAAACACCAAAAAACTGAACTGAAGAAGATAGTAAAATGGGCAATACCAACCTCTTAGTTGATTACTCTGACCTTCAAAGAGCCCCATAAACTTGGCCTCATCCACAAGGCCCACCATTGTTGAGAAATCCTTGATGAGAGATGGACAAAGGGGTGAGGGAGGGGGGTGTGGGTTAATAAGCCTGGTTAGATTTCTTTAAAGCAGTTCGGCGACGGAGGGCATTTTGCATTTTGCACGTGCCGCCGTGTCGAGCCATCTGGAGAGCTCATTCATGAGTTGACAGGTTTTACCGTGCTGGCTCGACGAACCTTCTCCAGCTTCACAAGAGTTCACAGGTTTCACCAGAGTGAGACTTGTAAACCGGAACTGATGAGGAGGCGAACGTGCAAAATACCCCCCTCCCCTGTCGGCAAACTGCGCCGATTTTTCTTTATTGTATGGTTAGCTTTCCGAACATCCTCCCCGCTCTAATGGTTTTGCTGTTTCGGACAGTTGACAGGTCGTAGAACCGATATATTTCCCCGTCAGAGAGGGGTATTTTAGACATGATAGGATTTTTTCCACCAGAATGGTGTTCCCTGCCTGTTCTTTCTGAAGCCGTATTGTACAGCTTTTGCACCTGTTTCCATCATCTTAGCCCCTACTGTGCTCCTTACATGGCCCTCTCAAGGGATTATGGCTCAGAATACACAAAATTTGGAACGCGTGTCCTAGCAGCGCTATTTGTGCGGTGCTGTCAAATAATGATGAAGGAGATAAAGTCGGATGAAGGCCACGAAAATGAGGTCGCATACGGTGGAATTAGCAGAATATGCAAAAAACGTTTGAATGGCATAGATCCTGCTGAGTCGGGAGGTTCATTACCGTATTTCCGTTACCGCTGCCTGAGCTCGTAAATCCTACGAGCCCAAACGACGCTATTCGGGTTCAGGGGAACTACGGTAACGATGTGGGGGTGAATGACGAATGGAATTATGCAGATTTGCTCTCTCTTCCCCCTCCTACTCGAATATTTGTCCATTCGGCGACACACAAGCAACTCCCAGAAAACCGTCCATAATCCCATCTATTGCCATAAACAACAGCTGTCATGTGTGCCCGAGCAGCAGCCATGGAAACTCGCGCTCTCTATCGCAGTCTACGCGCAGCCGCTTGTGCAACGATAACTTCCGAATGAGGGGTATTCCCTCATCGTTGGTGATTTTGCAATTGTTTTCTATGAGTGAGGCTTAACAAAATCGCGTGCACAGCTGAGACTGTTGTCGGATGGCCGGCTCCGGGACACAACGGCAAAACACACACACACTCACAACCCCCAACTCAACAGCCGGACGCGAAACAAATGAAACAACCCGGCGAGAAACACACTCACTTTTCCTTCATCGAATCGCACACTCACGTGCAATGGCACGTCGTTACCACTGAAGTCCGGACTATCTTTGTGAAGATTGATATTGAACCTGAAATTATTTGACATCATAATATTTCAAATCGTCTCAGCATTTGTTTTTTTAACATCTTTGATTGCAACAGACCTCTTGGCCTCTTCGCTGGTCCTGCCGCGGATGATAAGCGTCTGACCCGGTTCGATCCTCTCGGTTAGTTTACTGCGGTATGGAATATTCTGAAAAAAAAACCGTTGTTTCGCCAGTACAACTCCTATAAAGTTTAATGTCTGTGCAAGTCAATGCCCTTAATATGGTCGTTGGAGGGGGAAACTCATGCATATTCTGCTGCCGACATGACCGTTCCAGGTTTTTATAGACCTTGCATGATGGGTGGTCTTCCCTGTTTCACTTGCTCAGACATAACTTTCGAGGGCTTTTGAAAAAGTTATGATGGCCTGACAGATGTGAAGGTCAGCCCTGCATCAGAGGCAGGTTGAAATGTTCCTACGCCACAAAATACGTCAAGAGCTGTTTGGTGCTAAAGGAGGGGGGCATTACGTGACAAGAGTGAACGAAATAGAATATTCACAATGTACTTAGCGAAGTGCCATAAAGTTGGCATACGGCTGGCAACGTCCAACACGACCAACGCAGTTGCTGCGGGAGCACAGGCTGCTGAGCGACCTGCTCTCGAAGACGTGCACACACCAATGGCTGTCGATGGACCTTTGAAAGACGCAGCAGACGATCGACGAGGTGCCGGTGATTGTCGGAGAAATGGTGGCGGTGGCGAAGAACACCTGATACGCGCGTCAAGCACGTTCGATCCTCTGTTGCCACTTGTCACACATTCACGTGGCCCAAGAGCCACCGCTAACGGGCAGAGATCAGTTCAACCCAGATGAATGAATGGATTTCTGTCGGAAGATCAGAATAGTTTGGCCGTGGACGCAGCAGCAGCGATGTTCGCAGGCATCGTGCCGCTAGTGGATTCGCTCATGGAGGCTGGAGAGTCCGGGGTGTGGGTGGGGGCGTGTCTTTAGAGGGGAGAAGTGAGGACTTATCCCTCATGCCGCCGTCCTTCCAAATGGATAAATGCTTGCGTATTATCAACAAAGAGCGACAGCAGAGCAGGCCAAAGCGGAGACGGGCTATGCATCATTGCAAAGTTGTTCAATTCGTATGCGTGAAAGCGTGTAACGCTCGTTTGTTTGGGGAAAAAGTAGCGCTATTCAAGAGCGCAAATATTGAAAAACACTCGGAAGGAAGACCATCAGAAATCTGAGATTATCCGCTTCCTTTAATGCAAATGTCCGGAATGAAGGCCGAACGGAATGAGCTCGCCAATGAACGCAGCAAATCTTTGGTTCTCCTTGGAATATTCGGGGTTGAAAAAGAATTGGAGGAAGAGAGAGAGACGAAGGCTTGAAAAATGCGGTATGACTTGACGTATTGGGAGATTCGTTTGTCAGTTGAAAGTCTACCAGAACATCGTTTTTCGCCGAAAAGCCCTCTGCTTGACGACCATTCATCAACAACACCACAGCTCTCTTCCCTCCATGGAACTTCCACTGCTGTCTCAGTGAAGGTGTAACTGCGGGCAACAAAGCCCAAATGCCAGAGTAGGTTTACCAGATATTTTTAACCCATACTATCAAATTACCAAGGCCATATTTATAGCAACATACAATAACAAACTCACAAAAGTCTTCTCGGCCATATTGTTCTGTAGGTAATAAGGTAGTTTAACGCTCCTGAAAAAAACAATTATAAGCTTCCTAGGAAGATGTGGGACAAAAACGACCCGAAATAAGAAAATGTTGGGCATCACAAACTTTAATGGGCAGAAAATAAATCCTGCCTAAAAAGCATGAATGGGACTTGTCTAGCAAGATTTACGAGTATGCTATAGATCTTATCCTTCCACTTCTGAGCAGTGGTGGGGGGGGGGGAGTTGGCGGTGCAGGGAGGAAGAGAGAGGATTATTAAGAAAGCATTTCAACAGTGGGCTGAGCAGTTTTTGCAGGGGAGGGGTTGTACGTACTTTGTCCTACTAGGACCATTTCCATCAACAACGCCATGGAGGCCTTTCTCGACTGCGCCATCCACCTGACTTCTGCTCACAATCCGACAGACATTTGAATGTGATTTGGTGGATGTCGGCGCTACCTGACGTTCATGTTACGGTCCTGTTCGGCGCGGTTGCTGGGCTGCATAAAGGGAGGTTCGAGGCGGCGCCACCACGTTATTCTCCAACCATTCTCCACCATCAGGTTTTTCACCAACACCCTGCACCAACTGTTGAAGCTTGCCCGCTTCAACAACTGGTGGAGCATGGAAGGCGCCGCGCCAAACCCGCCCCGTGACACGTCCAAGCATCCATAGCGAACACGACTGTTTTGTTTAATCCCTCAAGAGAAGCTGGAGCCAACCGACTATTCCGAACCAAAATCCTCTGCTGCCCACGGACTATGAGCGGGAAAGGATCCACACGGGAAGACGACTCACGACGTGATACCGATTATTTTATTACTCTTTATTCAATTATACTTTCAGCCTTGCCTAGGGATCCCGAATCAATAAATCACAGAATGAGGGGAACTTTGGATGACTAAGATAGGAGGTCTTCCTTCCAACGTTGTCGAAGGAGCAGGGTATTTTCCCGAATCGATCACAGCCGCTTTGCAGCATACAGTCCATCATTCTTAGGCAGCTGAGCCACCTTCATGTCCGCGTGGGCTCGGGATTGAGCCCTTTGTTTCATAAGTCATGAAAACGGTGTGAGCGCCGCACGCCACTACACCAAGTCGCGACCATTCCTATGGAGAGATTATAACGCTGTTAGAGGGGGTCATATTGAAGGCACAACGATTAGGGAAATCAGGTTGTTGCAAATTAGCGTTCAATCTGTTATAACGCACAGGCTAATAATAGCACAGTTACCTGACCGTCCTTTGGCCCAGAAATTTACCTTGTAAATAGTACAAGGTTCATCACGAATGTGACATTGGTTGGATCGAACAAGTGAACCCTGAGGTTAGCTCTTAGCTCTAGCTTCCAACTTCAGCTAGCTAATCTCTCTTCTCTAGTGTGTCCAGTGCTTAGAAGTGAAATAGATGGCGCTGACCAATACCTTTGGGACGTGCTACACGTTCAACTTCGCCTCTAAAGTGCGGAAGCACTGAAACGTGCATTTGCCTTTCATCTTGTCATATGAAGATGACTACGGCTGAAATTCAGGGGTTCACAAACGGATTTGGGACCATCAATCTAAGGAGGTGATTGGCTAGAAAGCCTAGTAGGGGCTATATGTCAAAACCTTAGTAGATTTGCTGTAGCAGTTTTTTACCATGACAGAGGAGGTCTAGCGGCAAGTGGTCGCACTTACGAAGTGCATGGTGCGGAGCTCAACTCCAAGATCAGCTCTGGTCCAAACCAACCAAGCCTTTCTCACCAATACCGGAGAAAGGACCTCTTATGGTACCAACTATGGTACCATAGGAGGTCCTTTCCCGGTATTGGTGAGAAAGGTCCTTTATGGTACCAACTTTTAGCTAAAACTCCTTGGATTATTATAATTGGTGAATCGACACCACACGACTTCCTTTGGGATTCAAAACTCTGTGATACATTGTATGCACCCC